AAAGTCAATCTAATTAGTGAGATTATTATTTTTCCTATTCAATTCACTTATCATTATGCTCCAGGACTGAGAGCCGTCGGCTGCCAAACTGTGCGGCGGCTAAACCATGAGAGACCAGATCTGTTCAGTCGCTTTTGCAACAATTTTGAAATTAGTTTTAGAGCCAGTGGAGTGTGGCCTGCTGGGTTTTTGTCTCTCAACCAATTTAGGGCTGATAACAGCGAGCAGCGAATTGTCAAGTACTTCACCAACTCCTAAAAGCAGCAGGTCAGCGGCCCCTGAATGCTCTGTGCTTTTAGCTTGTAATACACAGTGTCCAATTAGGCCTGCGCCAAACATCCAAAAGATTGCAATTTCAACTCAAGGTTGATCTAGATTGGGGGCCACATCCCATTTGATTTACCTTTCTGTGCTACCCCTGGACCCTTCCCAACCGGTCCAAACCAGCCTGTTGCTTATGAATCCGGGGTACTCAAACAAAGTTTGTACCAAAATTACGTGCTTCCATGGTATGTTGTATAATCATTTTGCTCTCTGAAATGATTATCAGTTAAAAAAAATCTCCATCCATCCATTTTCTACCCCTTTAATCTATTTCTGGGTCGGGGGGCAGCAATCAGAGATGCCAAGCCTCACTCCTGCAGGTGGTAAGTCCATAGGAGGAGGGCTGCTCTGTCTGTGTGAGCCTTGATTTTTCAGTGGGGGCTTCAGGTAAAGTGGGGTTGAGTGTCCTTCCCAAGGACACAAAAACAGCAGACCTCAGTGGAAGTCGGTGGAGATAGTCTCATGGTGGGCTCGTAAGAAATATATTTCTATATCTATGTCTGAAAATACCCACAAACACAAAGAAAACATTGAATATTTTCTTGTTGGTTAAATACATACATTTATATTTTTTACACTTAAATACAAGGAATTGTATTTAACAATAGGGTATTTCCAATGTGGCCCCTGGAGGAAAATAACTGCCCACCCCTTTTCTAGATTATTGACACATGCGAGAGATGCTAATTATTGGACCTCTCCACTCGTGCTGATCTTCATCACAGCCACTTCACACTCCGCAAACTGTTCCAGTGCATGTTTAAGATCCTGGTTTGTTGAAGCCAACAGGACAACATTGTATGAATGAGGATCACACAAACACAACATTTGTGAATAATTAAATATCTTAATCAAATCTGTATTTCACACACGAATGAAGAGCTTTTTGGACATTGTTCTTATGATCAGTATACTTATATTATGTTGTGTTATTTTTGTACTCTTATTCATGTGCTCTACTACAATAACTATCTTTGTATGTCTATGTAAGTAAGAATATATGGTAACATTTTATAACCTCTCAAGCTCAATTAGCATGTCCATGAACGATCTTTAAAACTATATAAAGAAAAGGTTAGGGTCAGATGTTAGGACAATTAAAAAAGTAATTACCATTACCATGCCGGAAAAAATAGTTAATTGTTCCAAATTAACCTCTATAACAAGGGTGTCCAACTGTAGTCATTACATATCCATTATAAGTATACAGGGTTAGACAGAAGTGAGGTATGTTTTACCAGTGTTTTCCATGTTTTTTCATAATTATTACATTTTTATTATGACTGCAAAAATGAGTAGCTCTCTGCCTCTTCTGTTGTATGAAATTAGCTCTCTGATTGAAAAAGGTTGGAGACCCCTGCTCTATAGGCTCTACAGGCCCTACAGTCTACGGCTTTAAGGGTGACAGAATCCAAATCGTACTCTGCCAATGTTGAAGCCTGGTAATCAAAACAAAAGTCCGCACAGACTCTCATATCAGGTTGTTTTTCTTGAATGTGTGTGTGGGATTAATGCAGTCCTCAGCAGACCTTGTCACAGTCAGGTATCTTCAGCCTCAGTGTTGATAAGCTGTCACCACAATACAGCCACTGATGAAAAGTTGTCCTGTTTTTTTTCCCAATTCCTCCTGTCTCTGCACTTTTGCGGTGAAAAACAAAACAAAAACAAAATCCTATTTCGTTGATTCTATCTTTATAACATGTACTGAGACTACGGCCATGTTTCTATTACCATGCAAAGTAAAAGCAACACAGTGTCTTTATAAATGTATTGTTTATTATACTTTTATACTGCAGGCTTAAAGACATATGCATTACTTTTGTAAAAAAACAATAATACTTTTTACTTTGTCATTTCATGTTTAGGATGCAATAATATCTTAAGTCCATCCTATATGGTGAATCAAAAAACGGTAAAAGAAAACAAAAATCGGACTCTAAGTCTTTATGCTACCACCAGGGGGAGTAGTCCATGTATGAATGATCGCAAAGAAGGTCATTTAACCTGAGAAATGCATCAAAACGAATTGAATATGAAAATCCTGATCTAGCGTTGATGGATCCAAAAACAAGTCCATTAACAACCTTCACCGTTTTTTAAAAAGCTGAGTAGATTATGTTCATTATTTATCTCTTTCTTTTATTTTTGTATTTCTTCTTAACTCCAATTGGAAATTATGTAATGTGCTTTTAGCAGCTACTTTTAGCCTTGTTGACTCGGTAGGATCCTCTTATATAGTCTGTTCCAGTTCTACTCGGAGGTTGGATTCTCCCGGTTGCAAATTTGAAATATTCTACCTGGTATTTAGGATGATTTTGAACTGTGAATGTTGTGTTTCCAGGATCAGTTTCGACGAGGGCCGGCAGTGGACACAGCACACTTTCTCCTCGGTGCCGCTGTTCGTGGACGGAGTTCTGGTGGAAGCTGGAGCCGAGAACCAGATCATGACGTGAGTCCACAACACAATAAGGCCATCGATAATGATAAAAAAATTCGAACAGATGATGGCTATTACATGTCATATGTGTTTACCGTATGTACTAATGTGTATGTAATTAAACCTAAAGATACAACTTGAATTCATGTTTGTGAATCCATATTCCCAAGACACAGATTAGGTCACATTAAGATTTATATCCTTTATTTTTCCCAGAGTGTGGAAATTTCAGTGTTGCATTACCAGTTATGGAACAGTAGGAATGAGGAGCACACAACACAAAATAAATGAACAATAACTCAATACTAAAATAAAATACAATCTCTAACTTTAGCATACCAAAGAAGCAAGAATGAAATCTCTAGCTTTAGCGTAATAAGGAAGCAAAGCTACAATCTTCTTTATCCCCATGCCATCTTTGGAAGAAGTGACAATTATTTTGAAATGTGTTTTATTGTTGCCTTAATCCTTACTGTGAGATTGTTAACCTCTGTAAACCAGGGAGGGCCTGTGTCCACAGAAGCCTTGTGTTCTCGGACATGTCTCTGCCATGACATGCCACTGTGTTTCTGTAGGTTCTTTGGTCACTTCAGTCACCGCTCTGAGTGGCAGCTCATCAAGATCGACTACAAGTCCATCTTCAGCAGAAAGTGCACAGAGGAGGATTATCAGACCTGGCACCTCCACAACCAGGTATTCAACCATACACAGAATACAATACATAGTGTATGGTGACCACACGCAAATAGATAGATAGATACTTTATTGATCCTCCACCCATCCATCCATTTTCTTCCCCTTAATCCTTTTCTGGGTCGGGGGGGTGGCCAGAGATGCCACCCAGCACACAGAGCACCAGCCCCTCACTGATCCTCCTGCAGGTGGTGAGTCCACAGAAGCTGAGATCTTTCAGTGGGGGAGCTTCAGGCAAAGTGGGGTTAAGTGTCTTGCCCAAGGACACGACGACAGCAGTCATCAGTGGGAGTCGTGAAGTAGGTCTTACGGTGGGCTCGAACCCACGACCTTCAGGCTCAAAGGCCAATGCTCTACCAACTGAGCTACTGTCGCCCTACAACTGACTTTATTGATCCTGTATAGGAAAAAATCAGGAAAACTGAAGTATCCATCCATCCATCCCTTTAATCCATTTCTGGGTCAGGGGGGTGGCAATCAGAGATGCCACCCAAGTCTCATAGCACCAGCCCCTCACTGATCCTCTGCAGGTGGTGAGTCCACAGGAGGACGGCTGCTCTGAGTGTGAGCATAGCCTTGATCTTTCAGTGGGGGCTTTGGGCAAAGTGGGGCTAAGTGTCTTGCCCAAGGACACAACGACAGCAGTCATCAGTGGGAGTCGGTGGAGAAGGTGCAGAGGTGGGAATTGAACCCACGACCTTCAGGCCTGAAGGCCAATGCTCTACCAACTGAGCTACTGTCGCCCCTTCACAACTGAAGTAAATATTATAAAAACACAAATAAGAAACTGATCAAAAATATAATTTATCATGTAAGTTACAACTGTTGGGTTTCCATTCGTATTGGTGACTATATGTGTGTTAATTGCACATTGGGACGTTGCTGAATCATTTTTTGATCCCATTACCAAGGCCTCTGAGCCAATTACGGCCCTCTGTGTAATGTTCTTTGGCCTGCTGCCTTTCTAACCCGAAGTAGTCTCTGAGATCATAAAGACAACTTCACAGTGTCATCCAGCCAACTTCAGCGCAGTAAGAAAAGGCATGCAGTACGTCGCTGTATAAAGCCTAGGACCTTTGGAATTCAGCTCCATCCATCCATTTTCTACCCTTTAATCCATTTCTGGGTCAGGGGGGTGGCAATCAGAGATGCCACCCAAGTCTCATAGCACCAGCCCCTCACTGACCCTCTGCAGGTGGTGAGTCCACAGGAGGACGGCTGCTCTGTGAGTGTGAGCATAGCCTTGATCTTTCAGTGGGAATTCAGCTGCTTACTTTATTTGTATTTACAGACATTTGATTGAAATTTGTTGATAGTACTTTCAGTATGTAGCTGGTCATGGTCATTTGCCATTCAGCCAACTTCAGCTGTCATCAACCCCTTAAGCTCTTTAGCCCCCGCCGGCCGGGGCAAACGAGAAAAGTGTAATCAATTTGTAAAAGTTTTTACCTTTCGTCTTCTGATGCTTGAACAAATTAGACTTTCCCCATCCTTGCTTAGTCTCTTTCTCTCCGTTAATGTACATGGAAAAAGAATATCCACTTGTTTTTTCCAAAGTATAATCCATTCTGCAGAAATAATCCAAAAACAAATGCTCCGAAAGCGGTTCAGACTGCTCTTTTACATTTTAGCCAAGCATAACTCAGAATGTAAAAGATACAATGTTTTCAGATAAGATAAAATAGGAATGTTGTGGTCTGATTTTTTTCACTAAAAGTTACTTGATCAAGTCCTATCAAGTCCTATAACTATGTCCTCTATATTGTATTTGATGAAGAGTGGGACAGTGCACAGTTATTCCAATGTGGTTTACTGCAAAGGGCAAGTAAACTGAATCTTGAATCCATCTCAGGACTGTTTGAATAAGTAAGGAAACCAAAAACACGTCACCAAACCCGCACTTCTTCCAAACGAAAACACAACACCTCTCCAAAGTCAAACCTGCAATATTCTTCCAAACACTCACAGGAAGAATCGCACCTGCCTCCAAAAAAATCTCAGCTTCTACACAGGCTTAAATAGAGTCTTTTCTTCCCTCGCTGACAGGGAGAGCCTTGTGTGATGGGCCAGAAACAGATCTACATGAAGCGGCGGCCCGGGAACTATTGCATGCTGGGAAAGGACTACTCCAGGATCCTGTCGGCGGAGTCTTGCATCTGCAGAGCTCACGATTTCGAATGGTAAGAGGCTGCTTATGTTTTGACAATAGGCTCTGTTCTTTGGAAGCGACGAGGGGGGATTATGTTTGGCCAATATCGTCCGCCTCAGGAGCTCTTCATTAGCTCGCTGTTTATCCGCCGCCGCCGTCAAGCACCGACACGAGAGCGCAGATTTGCATGCGCTTTTGTCTCCTTTCCGCAGGCATTGTGAATGAGGAGAATGAGTGTCTATTGTGCCCTTCCAGAGGTCTCGTCATTCCCATTGTGTAATATGAAATCTAATGGTCAAATTGGTTTCTTTATTTCAGTCTCGTCGGTTAATATTTTTGCAAAAAAAAAGGTGGACTTAGACACACCCTTTGTTGGCAGATTCCAGATCCAAAAAGCTTTATACTAGCTTCTTATTATGCCAAATGTAGAGATTTTATACATATTTATTCTGTTTAAGAAAGAGATTTTTTTCAGAATCAGAATAATTTTTATTGCCATGTAAGTAACACAAAGTGAAAGACTCGGTGCAACAGTTAGAAAAGAGGGGTAAAGAATAGAGTAAGGCATAGTAAAAATCAGCATACACTTCTAAGGTACACAATTTTAAATATAATTATTACGATTACAATTACTGGTTGTTTCTTTGATGCTATAGAGTTAGAAAGTATAGTATAAGTAAAAGAGTAGTCTTGTCTGTGTCAGAGCTAATCTGACTAGTATGAAGAAGAATTTTCAAAACCTTTAGGATCAATCATGAAGCAAACAATAGAGAAAATGCTGACCAAGTGTATTTGTTTTCAGTAATATAAAGGTGTGTTCATACTGAGCTTTGAAACGCTAATCACTTTTATTCTATTGTAGAATATAGAAAGACTTTAAGCATTTTAGCCCGGTTTATTCTGGATAATATCCGTATGAAACTTGATTGTCTGTCTCTGTGTGTGTGGGTGTGTGCAATTTTATACCTGGCCCCTGTCTCCACGTATACTTTATTTCTATGTGATGATATAAATGTGCTATTGTATTTATGGACACCAGACGTGAGAAGTTATGGACATCTTTAAAAATATTGGACATTCCACTGTGTTATTTGGACTTGTCTGAAGGGAACGTTTCTTTATTTTTTCTATGTAAGGGCCACAACAAACAGAGCAATAATCCTAATGTTTTGAAGTTACAAGGGCCATTGGAACCAAGGCGCTCCGATATGGATTTTTCCTCTTAATAGCTTTTTCACCGCAGTTGTTACTTTCACTGCACTTGCTGAGCGGAGATACAAATACATAAATACAACTGAGAAAAGCCAGAGAGATGTTTGCCGTGAACTGAGAATAATGTAAAAAGATTAGGAAATGAAAATACATTTTGAGATGTACTCAATGCACCTGAGCAGCAGCATCACAAAACATGACCAATTATACCATCATTACCATGGTAACATTGTGCAATCCAAAGTAGCTTGTAAGTACTGTACTTTTACATTTCATCGGATCACAAAGAAACGTTTTGTCACTAATAATAGATTGTGTGGTATTTACATGAAAGGGACTTGCCTTTTGTTTGGATACATGAAACAAAAGCAGACCCCTACTGTGTAAGTAAATAGTAAGTAAATCAACGTTATATTTGTATAGTACATTTTTTTACAGACCAAGGTCACCCAAAGTGCTTCAGAGTTCAGATTGTTCAATCCTCTCCACACTGTTATGACGGAAGCGATACGCAAAACACACTGGCGCATCAAAGCCCCCAACCAACACCATCCATTCACTCACTGATTACATTCAGACATATTGTACATATTTTTAGTGGTATGAGAAACCGGAGCACCTGGAGGAAACCTACACGGACACAGGGAGAACATCTAAACTCCACTCAGAAAAGCCCTGTTTCGACCAGGATTCGAAACCAGGACGTTGTAGCGTCTGACACTGTTTAGTGACAGTGAAATTGTGAATAAAATGAAACCAAAACTGAAAAAAAAAACTATCACAAAGTTAAAGTAAATGCTTTGTCAGAGCATGTCAACTATGGTCACTACAGTCTTTTCTCGAAGTGGTGACAATAAAAACAAAAACAAATGCATAATGTTGGCCAGCCCTGCAGAAAGAACAAATATACCAACATTACTATGACAACATTGTATAATCAAAAATAGCCCGTTGCTTCTTTTACATTTCATCGGATCACAAATAAATATTAGGTCAAAAATAATAGATTGTGTGGTATTTACATGAAAGGGATTGCTGCCTTTTGTTTTAGATCATAGGTGTCAAAGTCAAAGCCCGGGGGCCAGATCCGGCCCACGAGACCATTTCCAGTGGCCCCTGAGATGATTTTAAATTATTATATTAAATAGCAGCATTGATGCTTATAGGCGACCATAACATGTTATCCATCACTAATTTTCACAAGAAACAACCATAAAATTTAATTCCATAAGAAATGTTAAGCCAACATGTAAATTAGAAGTTAGTATTGTTATGTAATTCTTTTTTTTACGAGTCTACAATTATTTCTTCTTAAAGATATGAAGGAGGATTTCCCAATTTTCGAAAGAACCGCTCTCTCCACTTTTTGAACAAAACTCTGTGGTCTTATTTGACTAGCACGAATCACCAGAATGATTGGCAATTTGGAGGAGCAATAGTCTTGATTATCCACCCAGAAGTAGAAAATCTTCCTATATACCTTCAATATTTGGTCTAGTTTTGGTTCAGTCCACAGAAACTGAACTAATTCCAATCAGAAAAGAATATCCAATCTGTCTAAGGTGAAACAATTAATTTATGTAGATACCTTCATATTATAAAAAAAGTATAATAAATGAAACCCACTTATTCTTTCGGCCCCTGACCAGCCCTTTCATTGTTTCATTCGGCCCTCAACCAAAAAACTATCACACACACACAAGTTACACACCTGCTTTGTCAGTGGATGTCAACTATGGTCACTGTAGTATTGTCTCAAAGAAAAGAAAAAAATAAGAAAAACCAAACATTATACATGATGTTGTCTAGCCCAGCAGAAAGAACAATTATACCAACATTACTATGGCCACATCGTACAATCCATAACCGCCTCATGAGGAAACATTGGATCAATAATATAGATCGTGTGGCATTTAAATGGAAGGGAGTGTTTTGTCTTTTGTTTTCCTCTAAAATCTGATTAATGTAAAGTCTATGTTTGCAGCATTCCGTTGCGACGCTGTTTTGATTGTAAATATTTTGTATGCAAATCCCGTAAAGCCGCACTTTTTATCTATGGCAGAACAGAAAAACATTCATCCAAACAAACAGGCCCTGAGTGAACAAAGTCAAGGCTCTTTTTAACACATTGTGGATATTTCTGCTTTTAAAACTTGTTTCTCTGATCGTATTCCAACTGACTCGCTTCCTTTGTTTACCTCAGAGTTTATTAGCTTTATTTTCTAGATCACTTTTATTTGTCTCATCCTGTTTTTTTTATTTTTTTTGTGGAGGATTTGATTCAAAGCTGATTTCTTTATTTAACGACCAAAGCCGCTGACACGAGCCACGAGAAATCCAATCATCTGTAAAACCAGCAAATCAATGTCACTCGCTGGCAGATCGGTGACGCTGCCGATCACAGCTAGATAATAATTACTTGACTACTTATTATTATGTCAACGCATGATTCTATATGCAGGGTACACATTGCTTTGTCAATAGTAAATGACGGGGTATTAGGGTAGATGATAAAAACCTGCCCGTTTCATATTCAACACGGCCATGGCTAGATCCAAGGCTGGCCATATATGCAATTCTTAAATGTAGACAGGAGCTGCACCCATGGAGACTGTTGAAGTGGAAAAATGTCACTTTAAGGAGAGAAGCTTTTGTAAGGAATTAACAGAATGAATTGTGTATAGAATGAGATTGGTGTGTGTGTGTGTGTGTGTGTGTGTGTGTATGAATGGATGGTTGGTCGGGGGGGCCAATGGCACAGACTGGTTGCCTCGCCTCTGTCAGTGTGCGCCTGGACAGTTGTGGCTACAGTAGTAGTTTATCACCACCGTGTATGGAGTGAATGAATAATGTGAAGCGTCTTTGAGTGTCCAAAAGAGCGCTACATAAAACCAAAGCATTATGATTATCAACAGATTTTTATGTATATAGCACATTTCACAGATCAATTTCTTACTAAGCGGCAAGGCAAGGCAAGTTTATTTGTACAGCACAATTCCATACACAAGGCAACTCAAAGTGCTGAACAAGACAAGATAGCATTAAAATCATAAATAATCACAATCCATTACAAAAAAAGATAAAAATATAAAATCCCTCATTTGTATTCCCCAATTAACCTGGTTTTAAACATTGTCAGAGTGCTTTAACATATTTTTGGTGTATCTTTAAATGAATTAATACTTTATTTTGAGCCATGGTAAACAAATACAAAGTTTGTTTTTATGTATTTATTTGAACAGTATTAATTAACAGTACTACAAAAAAGGAGTGGGCTCAATCCCCAAAACTCTATCTAACTTTTCATATTACAATAAAAACTGTACAAAACAAGGACACAAAGTCATACAAAACAAACTACATATGTACAAAAACAATCAGCAGTCAACAATGTGAAATACATCAGATAATTAGCCAGTTTGGAATGAAAACCTGCAGCCACACCGTCCTTTTATGGAACCAGTTTGACCCCGTCATGTACAATATTACTCAAAAAACTCACCCATAATTGCGTTTTGATTTATGTATAAGCTAATGACAAAAAAACCATATTACCGGAAGGCTAAAAACTGCAAAAAAAAAACTATAATAGCTTGACCTCTTCAGCTCATTAATATTGCTGCGTACTTCAACTTCAAGGAACTTTAAAGACCTCATCACACAACAAACTTGGAAAGTGCAGCGATGGAGAGATAATGCGTGATTACTCCTTCACATGTCAGTGGTCGTAATGTTTTGTCTGATCCCTGTATGGTCCTAGCGAGCCGCCCACCGGTGCCATAGCGACGGACAGAACGGCCACTTCGACGCCATCGCCGCTTGTTAATGAAAAGTTCACAGCGGCCTCATTCGCACAAAGCTCGTCCGCGCAGCAGCCAGTCACGGCCCGTTAGCTGTTTATTTGTTCTGCTCCGATAATTAATTGATAAATCACTGTCAGGGGCGTTATGAGAGCGGACATGTGCTTACCTTGCTTTGTGGGATGTAAATTACGCGCTGATTGTTTCGTGGGCCAGTCAAAGCCGGTCGTTAAAATAGAATGCTAATTTGCGATGGGGACGAAACACGGGTAAAGCTAGAATGAAATTGCTCTAACCGTGCTAAAATGTGATTGCTAATTAATATCACAGATGGGATTAGGGAGGTTTGTGATATAATTTTCACGGGGATATTTACATCATTTTGTATGAAGTCTGGGTCAACAAACTTCCCACAGTTAACATCAAAGTCCTGTCAACTGAATCAAGAAGCAAATAATAGATACAATTTCTCCATTGAGAGATCAAAAAGTTGTATCTTATCTTATCTTATAACTGACAGAAACTGAGAAACAAGTTGTCTCTCTGTCTCCAGGAAATTCTCAACAGATCGTCCAAACTCATCATATAAAGTCCTTCTAGTTTGAAGAATGATAATCCAGTGTGAGATCAATAAAGTCTATCTTATCTCATCTTATGTGTAAACTATATACTAAAAACTTTACAAAACTGAAAATTGTTTATTTGATTTGTCAGTGTGTGTTTTTTTGTTTTTGCGTCTGCCTTTTGCATACCGTTATGTCAAGTTATTTGCAGACTCAATAATTAATATGTTCTTTCATAATTCAAGTATAACTAAACTTAAATTCATGATATAAATATACTCTCTATCTTCTGTGTGAATACATTTATAAACCTGTGACTGTATGTAAATATATATAGTGTGTATTTGATCATGAAGAAGCCTGTCTCACATTTTCAGCAAGACTGTTCCGGATTATAGCTGCATACTGCCTCGCCATGTTTAGTCCTGACTCTGGGCCCCAGCAGGAGGCCTCTGTGCTCCTCAGAGTCCTAGTTGGTTCATATGGCACTAAAATGTAGACCAAGGCCATGGAGAGACTTGTACACAAGCAGAGCCGATTTCAAGTCTATTCTGAGCCACGAGAAGGCAGTGCAGAGACCTGAGCACATGACTAATGTGATCATTCTTCCTTGAATTAGGATTTGGGGAATTCAGAAAAATAGATCACCTTAAAGACACTTAACCCTACTTTGCCCAAAGCCCCAACTGAAAGATCTCAGCTCCTGTGGACTCACCACCTGCAGGAGGATCAGTGAGGGGCTGGTGCTCTGTGTACTGGGTACAGCTCTGACTGCCACCCCCCCGACCCAGAAATGGATTAAGGGGAAGAAAATGGATGGATGGATAGATCACCTTAAAGACCTTATGACGGGTTTTTAAATAAAAAATTGTGGATATCAAAATTGCATGACAACGTCAATCTGAAAGAGATTCCGGCAAAAAAAATCCTATATTTTATAAAAAGAACATGTTTTTCATGAATTTAGGCTGTCTATGCTCTAACCTGTGTGTGACGTCATAGCGAGTAAAGCCCATGCATTGAAAACCATGGATCTATGCCACAGGACTGCCTTTTCTCTCTTTTCTCCACTGATGCCCAACACAATACTGCACTCTACAAGCGACAATTGCTCACTACACATAAATTGCCGTTTGAGAGTGAAAATGTGTCTGAGCTGGGCTATGAACCCATGTCTCTGGATTGGTAGCCCATCAACACAACCACTGGACTATCTCAGTGACAACGAAATGTCACAAACTAGTAGTCTCATACTCGCTGTACACAGCCTTGTCCTCTTGAATATCGGCGAAAAAAGAACGAATACCAAATTGTAAACAACTTACAGCGTTGAAACGTACCCACTCTGACGTCACCAAGGGCTGTGAAGTTTTTTCGTCTCTAAGGGCGTTGCTATGGGGTTATTTCGATTTGGGGGGATCAGACAAAAAAAAACGACAACTGATTTTGAAACCTTTAGTAGTTCTCTTCTAATATAAAATGGTATTAAAACTGTATTTCTAAATAAATCAAACCCGTCATAAGGTCTTTAAGTGTTGAGTCAACCCTGTACAATTAATCTGTTATGATGTAATAATAAATCAGATAAGCATTAAAACACTTCTCGATCCATAACCACATACCCCAGCTCTCTCTCTGTCTGTTTTCTTTTATGTGGTGGTGCTGGTGTCTTCAATGTCCTCAATCAATACATAATAATGACAGCCGATAGTACAGGCAGGGCCGGGACAGAGGCTTTGAACCCAACCCAGGCCTGATAAGCTCCTCTGACAATATGTGCCTTATCCCCAGCCCTGATATCGATCTGTGCTTCTGTGTTTGTGTGCGATAGCGATTATGGATACGAGCGCAGAGGAGACGGAAACTGCCGAGCCGCCTTCTGGTTCAACCCCTCCACGGTGTCCGGAAGCTGCAGCCACGGACAGAACTACCTCAACAGCACAGGGTAAGAGCGGAGAGACTGCCTGGAAGTCTGCTCTGGAATTAGCCTGGTTTTTCCATACCATCGTACACATTTAATTTCGTACTAAGATCTGGATTTGCTCCATTGGGCTCCGTCTACAAGTGGGAGGAGTTCACTCCTTATGCAGATTGAAACAATTGGGTCTGAGCTTACCCAATCAACAGGGATTGGGTGGTGATATATGTAATGCGCCCTAGTGAGTCGTTGGCCTTTATCCTAGCATCTCACTAACTGGAAAATAAGGCTTTTGACAAACCCTGTGGAGAGCCACCACATCTTTGCCAGAAATGCTCTGGCTTTTACTATCGCATTCGCCGCCATTTTAAAACTACAAAACAGCAACAGACCCAGATCAGATCAGATGTACATGTACAGTGCCTTGCGAAAGTATTCGGCCCCCTTGAACCTTTCAACATTTCGCCACATTTCAGGCTTCAAACATAAAGATATAAAAATATTTTTTTTTGTCAAGAATCAACAACAAGTGGGACACAATCGTGAAGTGGAACGAAATTTATTGAATAATTTAATCTTTTTTAACAAATAAAAAACTGAAAAGTGGGGCGTGCAATATTATTCGGCCCCTTGCGCTAATACTTTGTAGCGCCACCTTTCGCTGCAATTACAGCTGCAAGTCGCTTGGGGTATGTTTCTATCAGTTTTGCACATCGAGAGACTGGAATTCTTGCCCATTCTTCCTTGCAAAACAGCTCAAGCTCAGTGAGGTTGGATGGAGAGCGTTTGTGAACAGCAGTCTTCAGCTCTTTCCACAGATTCTCGATTGGATTCAGCTCTGGACTTTGACTTGGCCATTCTAACACCTGGATACGTCTATTTGTGAACCATTCCATTGTAGATTTGGCTTTATGTTTTGGATCATTGTCCTGTTGGAAGATAAATCTCCGTCCCAGTCATAGGTCTTTTGCAGACTCCAACAGGTTTTCTTCCAGAATGGTCCTGTATTTGGCTCCATCCATCTTCCCATCAATTTTAGCCATCTTCCCTGTCCCTGCTGAAGAAAAGCAGGCCCAAAGCATGATGCTGCCACCACCATGTTTGACAGTGGGGATGGTGTGTTCAGGGTGATGAGCTGTGTTGCTTTTACGCCAAACATATCGTTTTGCATTGTGGCCAAAAAGTTCAATTTTGGTTTCATCTGACCAGAGCACCTTCTTCCACATGTTTGGTGTGTCTCCCAGGTGGCTTGTGGCAAACTTCAACGAGACTTTTTATGGATATCTTTGAGAAATGGCTTTCTTCTTGCCACTCTTCCATAAAGGCCAGATTTGTGCAGTGCACGACTGATTGTTGTCCTATGGACAGACTCTCCCACCTCAGCTGTAGTTATCTGCAGTTCATCCAGAGTGATCATGGGCCTCTTGGCCGCATCTCTGATCAGTCTTCTCCTTGTTTGAGATGAAAGTTTGGAGGGACGGCCGACAGTATCTCGGACCTGCCTGGTGTGTTCCTTTGTCTTCATGGTTCTCTCTGCGCTTTAAACAGAACCCTGAGACTATCAAAGAGCAGGTGCATTTATACGGAGACTTGATTACACACAGGTGCATTCTATTTATCATCATCAGTCATTTAGGACAACATTGGATCATTCAAAGATCCTCACTGAACTTCTGGAGTGAGTTTGCTGCACTGAAGGTAAAGGGGCCGAATAATACTGCACGCCCCACTTTTCAGTTTTTTATTTGTTAAAAAACTTTAAATTATCCAATAAATTTCGTTCCACTTCACGATTGTGTCCCACTTGTTGTTGATTCATGACAAAACATTTAAATTTTATATCTTTATGTTTGAAGCCTGAAATGTAGCGAAATGTTGAAAGGTTCAAGGGGGGCGAATACTTTCGCAAGACACTGTATGATCCGACCCACATGTGCATATAGGGAAATGATAATTGACCAGTTACGAATGGCTAAGGCCAGGCTTCTCTGGAATAGGTAGGTTCAGTGTTTAATAGTGATGGTCGGTGTTGCATAGTTCATACTTGACCAGGAGGGAAGTCCAAGAAAATCCAAAAGTTCTATTCAAACATTTATTTTTGTGTTACATTAAAAGTTAATAAGATAATCCTTAATAATACTTGATTGATCCCTCGAAGGAGAAATTCAGGTTTTGGTTTCATCCCCTTTAATAATCCATTCTTGGGTCGGGGGAGTGGCAATTAGAGCTGCCACACAGTCGTCATTGCACCAGTCCCTCACTGATCCTCTTGCAGTGGTGGGTCCACAGGAAGATGGCTGCTCCGTCAACAACAATATTTAAATCCAATCAAATGATCTTGTGTTTTTAATCTTTAATATTTAAGGTGAAATGCATTGACCTACAGTACAGACCAAAAGTTTGGACACAAACTTCAAAGAGTTTTTTCATTTTCATGATTAGCGATAGTAGAGTAGATTCACACTGAAGGCATCAAAACTATGAATCAACTCATGTGGAATTATGTACGTACTAAAAAAATGTATGAAACAACTGAAAATATGTATTATTTCCTCGGTTCTTCAAAGTAGCACCTTTCGCTCTGATTACTGCTTAACAGAACTTTGACATTCTCTGATGTGATTCAAGAGGTAGTGACCTGAAATGGTCTTCCAACAGTCTTGAAGGAGTTCCCAGAGATACTTAGCACTTGTTGGCCCTTTCGCCTTCACTCTGTGGTCCAGCTCACCCCAAAACCATCTGAATTGGGTTCAGGTCCAAAACCATCTGGATTGGGTTCAGGTCCGGTGACTGTGGAGGCCAGGTCATCTGGCCCAGCACCACCACTCTCCTTATTGGTCAAATAGCCCTTACTCAGCCTGGGTGTGAATCTACAGTCAATAGTCATGAAAAGAAAAGAAACTCATTGAATGAGAAAGTGAGTCCAAACTATTGGTCTGTACTGTAGTTTGTAGTTTCAATCCTAGGAGTCCTAGTTTGTCTCCCCAGAAAGACAGAAGTCAGTCCAAAACTTTTCTCAAAATATGAAGGTTGAAACGTGTGAAAGAAATAGACTCCGGACCTATCATTCAGAACAAATCACACAATAACATTGCCACATAATAATACATATTTTTAGAAATAGATAGAAAGTTCTCTATTGTCACCAGAACTACCAACAACGTCTCACCAATTCTAGGCTTCGTACAAAATAATACAATTGTGTTTGACTGAGAAACATGCACAATACCTTAGACACATCCCACGCATTTTTACATGGATTGAATCATCAAGAAGGTGTATTTTTTCCTCTTCTTCTCTCGACCTACTTTAAGGTTATCACACCCTTTTCCCGTGGCATCAACCATTTTCAGATCCATCGACGTTTGCCACAAACACTTGGGCAATCAATGCAAATTTAGCCGAGACTAAACGCCTACACTATTTCGAGTCCCAAAACTGCTGTCTGTTTCTACTGCTTTTCACCAGCCTTTTCTCTCTCTCCGCTCCTCGCGAGAAAATTGACTGAGGATCATTTCTGTCAGTCAATATTTTATGTAGCAGCTTTTGGAAATCCAATTGAACTGTCCGCAGCACCCGAAAGCTACTGTTCTTCAAGTGATTGGCCCAAAATGAACTCTGCAATTTGCCCAAAGGATAATATATGTCTATCTTGAGTGATATATCTTTTTTACACTATTCCTGTGTAAAATTAAGCTGATGTACCATCCCTAATGATCCAGGTGCACTTCACCTGAAAATGCCATAATCTCGCCAACTACCTTAGGGATCTATGTAAAGTATGAATTGCCTCATTAGTCGTAATTTCAGCGCATATTATAAGCTCCTAGTAATTATCAGTGCAATGCGGGATTTGTTAACTGGCCAGGTTCACCTTAGGTAGTGGGAAAAAGTTCATAGAAGTATCGAGTTTCTTTCAGGTCACTTGAAGTACGGTCCAATTTCATTCACCAAACCCTGAAAAACAATGCCACGCTCTTTGGCCTCTAAGACGATTGAGGTAAGAGAGTAAAGTAAATGTTTCATGATGCGTATTTAAGTTGATTGTTTGCGGTTATTGCGAGACGAGTGAAATAGATTCATGGATTATTAATACTTGTGTAAGAAGGTTTTGTTTCGACTGGAGTCCCTCAGAGGTAGTGTTGAGGAAGGATGGGACAGAGATGTGCACGGCTAAAGTTTAATGTTATTACTTTTATTCAAGCTGCATTTTAATGCAAGGGTCTCCACAAAACTTGAATGTAAAAAGCTAAAATGCCTTAACTCCAAGTCAAAATGTACAAGTCCATTTTGTCCGCTAATAAAAGTAGTCAAATTATACGACAAGTCACTACTGCTGATTAGAACTACAGGTAGTTAGTTCAACATATGTGCTCCAAAAACAAGCTAGGTTTCACGCGGAGAGAGAGACACGGTCACAACTACAACATGTCTGCAACTGAATTTAACAAGTATGACAGAGATAAAACGCTGCAACAACAGAATCACAGTAGTTAGATGGACACAACATGTGCTAGTGAAGGTGTAAAAGCTAAGCTAAGCGCTAGCCATGGTGAACATAGGCACAAGCCATGCTGAACCCACGTGTGCAACTAGCTACGAGAATGGCTATAAACAGGAATGTGCATTCAAATGTGGATATGAATCATGATTTGCCCCTTTATATATGTCACGGGACATATCATATCCTAGCCATGACATTTCTAGAACACAAGACGTGGAACGTCACCTCACTGGGTGGGAAGGAGCCCGAGCTTGTGGGGGAGGTTGAGCGATACCGACTAGAGATAGTCGGCCTCACCTCCACACACAGCTTGGGCTCTGGAACCCAGCTCCTTGAGAGGGGTTGGACGCTCCACTTTTCTGGAGTTTCCCGCGGAGAGAGGCGGCGAGCTGGGGTGGCCATTCTCATTGCCCCCCATCTCAGCCGCCATGTGTTGGAGTTCTCCCCGGTGAATGAGAGGGTCGCGTCCCTCCGCCTCCGGGTGGGGGACAAGTCTCTCATTGTTGTGACGGCCTACGGGCCTAACAGCAGTGCAGAGTACCCGGCCTTCTTGGAGTCCTTGGGAGGGGTACTGGACGGTGCACCGCCCGGGGACTCCGTTATTCTCCTGGGGGACTTCAACGCCCATGTGGGAAACGCCAGTGACAGAGGGGTGATCGGGAAGAACGGCCCCCCCTGATCTGAACCCGAGCGGTGTTCAGTTGTTGGACTTCTGTGCCAGTCACAGTTTGTCCATCGCGAACACCATGTTCGAGCACAAGGGTGTCCACCAGTGCACGTGGCACCAGGACACCCTAGGCCGGAGGTCGATGATCGACTTTGTTGTCGTATCATCTGACCTTCGACCGCGTGTCTTGGACACTCGGGTAAAGAGAGGAGCGGAGCTGTCAACCGATCATCACCTGGTCGTGAGTTGGATCCGCTGGCAGGGGAGGAAGCCGGTCAGACCTGGCAGACCCAGGCGTATAGTGAGGGTCTGCTGGGAACGTCTTGCTGAGCCCCCTGTCAGACGGACTTTCAACTCACACCTCCGGGAGAGTTTCTCCCAGGTCCTGGCGGAGGAGGGGGACATGGAGTCAGAGTGGACCATGTTCTCTGCCTCAATCGCCGATGCGGCGGCTCGTAGCTGTGGTCGCAAGGTCTCTGGTGCTGGTCCCGGCGGCAACCCCCGAACCCGGTGGTGGACACCGGCAGTAAGGGATGCTGTCAGGCTGAAGAAGGAGTCCTATCGAGCCATGATGGTTCGGGGGACTCCTGAGGCAGCTGTCCAGTACCGGCAGGCCAAGCGTGCCGCGGCCCGGGCTGTTGCAGAGGCAAAAACCCGGGACTGGGAGGAGTTCGGAGAGTCCATGGAGCATGACTATCGGTCGGCCTCGAAGAGATTCTGGCAAACCATCCGGCGCCTCAGGAGGGGGAAGCAGTTCTTTGCCAACACCATGTACGGTGCGGGTGGAGAGAGCTGCTGACCTCGACTGGGGATATTGTTGGGCGGTGGAAGGAATACTTTGAGGTTCTCCTCAATCCCCCCGTCACGTTCTCTGTTACAGAGGCAGAGGCTGAGGATGTTGGGGCGGATACATCCATCTCCCTGGCTGAGGTCACCAAGGTGGTTGGCAGCCACCATGGTGGCAAGGCTCCGGGTGTGGATGAGATCCGCCCTGATTATCTAAAGTCTCTGGATGTTGTAGGACTGTCTTGGCTGACACGTCTCTGCAACATCGCGTGGCGATCGGGGGCGGTGCCAATGGAGTGGCAGACCGGGGTGGTGGTCCCTCTCTACAAGAAGGGGGACCGGAGGGTGTGTTCCAATTATCGTGGGATCACACTCCTCAGCCTCCCCGGTAAGGTCTACTCCAAGGTACTGGAGAGGAGGCTACGGCCGATGGTCGAATCTCGGATCCAGGAGGGGCAGTGTGGTTTTCGTCCCGGTCGCGGAACACTGGACCAGCTCTATACTCTCCATCGGATACTCGAGGGTTCATGGGAGTTTGCCCAACCTGTCCACATGTGCTTTGTGGATTTGGAGAAGGCGTTCGACTGTGTTCCCCGGGGTGTCCTTTGGGGGGTTCTCCGGGAGGTCCTCTGCTGAGGGCCATCCGATCCCTGTATGACCGGAGCCAGAGCTGTGTTCGTATTGCCGGCAGTAAGTCAGACCTGTTCCCGGTGAATGTTGGCCTCCGACAGGGCTGCCCTTTGTCACCGGTTCTGTTCACTGTATTTATGGACAGAAATTCTAGGCGCAGCCAGGGGTTCGGAGGGGGTCCGGTTCGGAGACCACAGGATTTCATCTCTGCTGTTTGCGGACGATGTTGTCCTGTTGGCTCCAACGAACCAGGACCTGCAGCATGCACTGGGACGGTTTGCAGCCGAGTGTGAAGCAGCTGGGATGAGAATCAGCACCACCAAATCCGAGGCCGTGGTGCTCGACCGGAAAAAGGTGCCTTGCCCTCTACAGGTGGGTGGAGAGGTCAAGTATCTCGGGGTCTTGTTCACGAGTGAGGGAAGAATGGAGCGTGAGATTGACAGGCGGATCGGTGCAGCGTGCGCAGTGATGCGATCGCTGTATCGGACCGTTGTGGTAAAGAGGGAGCTGAGCCGAAAGGCAAAGCTCTCGATTTACCGGTCAATCTTCGTTCCCTCCCTCACCTATGGTCATGAGCTTTGGGTAATGACCGAAAGAACGAGATCGCGGATACAAGCGGTCGAAATGAGCTTCCTCCGCAGAGTGGCTGGGCGCTCCCTTAGAGATAGGGTGAGGATCTCAGTCACACGGGAGGAGCTCGGAGTAGAGCCGCTGCTTCTCCACGAACCAGTTGAGGTGGCTCGGGCATCTGTTCCGGATGCCTCCTGGACGCCTCCCTGGGGAGGTGTCCCGGGCACGTCCCACCGGGAGGAGGCCCCGCGGAAGACCTAGGACACGCTGGAGGGACTATGTCTCTCAGCTGGCCTGGGAACGCCTTGGGGTCCCCCCGGACGAGCTGGAGGAAGTGTGTGTGGATAGGGAAGTCTGGGCGTCTCTGCTTAGACTGCTACCCCCGCAACCCGGCAACGGATAAAACGGAAGAAAATGGATGGATGGATGGATGGAGAAACAATAATAATAATAATAATAAAAAAGACATCTCCTTTCCTATCCATCTAAATGCAAGTTACAGTGTAGTTTAATATATTCTAAGATTAAACATGTAAAATGACACCACCTCAGGCCTGGCTGTGCAGATACTGTGTGTAATACCATCAGTCTGTGAGCTTCCAGGGGAATATAAAACAGGCCAGAGCTGGAGTCGCTGCTCCTCCGGGGATAGACGCAGAGTGAGAGTAAAATCTCAGTGGGAAACTTTTATTTGTGATTACATTTTAGGAAGCGTCTGGGCCTTTTCCGACACGTCTCCTGCCGTCATTTACTTTGCTGTCGCATCCGTAAAAAACAAATCAAACAAATAGACTTTAGATTCCCAACATGCTCTTTTGCCTCTTACACTTTTTGGCTTACGAAATTGTTTGAACACAGAAGAAGTGTGCAAAACTGGTATTCATACTCCAGCGTTCAGCAAACTGGGAGCATGGGTGGCTGAGCGGTATTTGCATGTTCTCCCCGAGTTTGTAATGGCAGGGTAGGATTTACAGGAATACAATTCATACGTAGATATTCATGACACAATATGTATATGGGTGGCTTTCATTTCAATACATAATGTTTCCAAACTATTCGATAGGATTCAATCATAATCACTTTACTCCCTTTGATGTAAAAAGCTTGTTACATCTTCATGTTTTTGGCTTATAAGGTTATTTTAATAAGAAAGCTAGAATTGGATAATTCCCTTTGTCAGAAACATGTCAGGTAAGCAGTACTAGTGTCTTTATCTTACTACCAGAACCTTCTAAGCCTTAGACTTTTAGCCCCTTACATCTATGGGCCGCGCCCCATTCATGAGAAAAATAAAGAATACAATATTGGTGAATATATTTTCCATTTACTGAAGAATGATTGATGAAAAGAAAGTCAGTTTCCAATGTTTGGTCTATGACTATAACAACATTAAAATATTAGAAAATCTAAACATGAAAAAAAGGAATATTGTGTACTTTTTAATTTTTATCATAAAGTGAAAAAAAATACGGACATAACAGACAGAAAAAAATAATTACAAACAAAAATTGTATGTTTAAAGGTATGAGAGCATTTTCCCAAATTTTAGGAAAGAAATGCCACTTTTCAACAAAACCCTGTGGTCTTATTTGACGAGCGCATTTCACAAGAATGATTGAGAATTGGGACGACCAATATTCTTGATGATCTACCTGCAAGTAGAAAATCCTCCTATATACCTTTACGTTGGAGCCACGACAAACAAATAAATGACACTTTTCTAAGTGTTTATGTATTTGAACTGTTTCACCAGGTATCGTAAAGTGGTGCTGAACAACTGCACGAAAGGAGTGAAAGAAATCTACACGGCCCGAAAGCAGCAGTGTCCCAACAGACCTCCCAAAGGACTCCAGCTCAGCACCCGGGACGGGAAGCTCACGGCTCACCAGGGAACCAACGTCACCTTCACCGTCAACCTGGACGAGGTAAACAGCAGTAATAAGTAGTACTTTAGTTTGTATATTTACCTCAGTCTCTTCATTCTGAATACAATCGTCAACGAAGTGTACACAAATGACCGAAAGGGTTTTTGCCAACCCCATACATTTACATACAATTACAATTTAAAGTACCAAAGCTCACGGCTTGTTTCAACTGCCAGAGAAGTGAAACTATTTTTTTTTTTTACAAAGTATAAGTACATAATGTGTGAAGTTTGTGTTTCCATAACAGGAGATACAGTATAAACCCTGTGTATGCATTTCACTGCAATTTTAATATGGCATAAATGTACTTTATATTTGACTTTATTAGGAACACATGGTCAATATACCTACAAAGTAATAAAGGGAATTTGCACTAATCCAGTACTGAAGTAGCCTGGTTGTACCACACCTTAGTACAAATTACATTTCGTACTAAGGTCTGGAGGTGATCCATTGAGCTCCGTGAACAGGTGGGAGGGGTTAACTCCTTTTGCAGATTGAAATGATTGGATCTGAGTTTACCGTGACGTATGTAATGCGCCTGAGTGTGTTATTAGCATTTAGCATTTAGCCTAGCCATCTCCTTTGCCGCTAACGGAGCCCGTGGGGAGTAGCGCCACAATCTTGACCAGCGATTACATTTGCTAAACATTCCTCTTGCTCCTGCTTCAGTTTCTTGATAGAACCAGACCAGATTACTTTACTATCGCATTCTTCGCCATTGCCGAACTACAACCTGCCCGTTCGGCGCAAACTCTTGACGTCACCGGCACAGACCTACAACACCCGCCTTCCGCGCTAACACAGGGACCAGACCCAGACGCAACATGCAGTGAAATTATGATTGAGCGGAGTGTACAGATGGATAAGGCCAGGCTAGTACTGCAGTAAAGGTACCTTTTTTTTTTTTTTTTTTTTTTTTTTTTGGAATATTTTGTGTTCCTGTGGAAACTATCCTTGTACAACTTTGTTTTCGATGCCTGACCGAATAAAATAAACTAAACTAAACTAAAGAGTAAATGGGAGGTGTATACAATGCCGTATTTTGTAATTATTCATGTTTTTTTGTATTATCAAGTCATTATTTTAATCGAAATTGACATGTTTCTTCTAAAATGAAGGCAGTAATATATAAACAATACCCCATGTAGCCAAGATGCTTTGAATTGAATGTATCGGTGATTCTGGTCTGCCATATACTGTATATAAAAAGATTACTCCTTCGGAGTGAGCAGGCCTCTGCTCAGGACTTTTTATGACTCCGTGGTAGCTTCTGCCATTTACTACGCTGCCGTGTGCTGGGCCCCGGGCAGCACAGAGCGGGACAGAAACACACTGAACAAGCTGGTCAGGAGGGCCAGCTCCACTCTGGGCTGCTCCCTGGACTCTGTAGAGGAGGTGAGGGACAGGAGGGTGCTAGTCAAAGTCACCTCCATCATGAACAACACCTCCCACTGCACAGGACTGTAGAGGAGCTGAGGAGCTCCTTCAGTGGAAGACTGAGGCACCCTCAGTGTAGGAAAGAGCGCTACCGCAGGGCCTTTATCCCCACCACTGTCAGACTGTACGATAAGTCACTTTAAGTCACTGTATAAGACTAAAAGAACCTGCACTACTATTGACACTGTTTCTAATTGCCACTCTTTAAATTGACACTTGACGCTTTTGTTGTACATAATATATCCTGCATTTAACATGCTGCACATTTCTTTCTTTTTGCACAATCTTGAGTGTTCTATCCATGCCAAATGTGACATGTAAATTTCTCCTTTGTGAGATAAATAAAGCATATCTTATCTTATCTTATATTACTCGCTTATTTACGTACTTATACAGTATACAGTGAGAGCAAAAAAAGTGCAAGTTTACAGTAAGATCTTTTTGGAGGTTGTTTGTACATAGCGAAGGCGGCTCAAAAGCAGAAAATGTGCCAAATTACAAACAGATCATTTTAAAATGTAAGTACTACACAGCAGTTCTTGAGCTGGAGCCTGAACTGGAGGAAAAGCGCAGAGTGTTGCTGATGACTTCAGTTGAAAAACAGCCTCTTTCTGCTCAGTGTTTCTGCGCCGCTGGGAAACGCTTCACCTTGAAGACATTTAGGAGAACGATTACACTGCACAAATGGTTTTCAGTTTCTGTGTGTTTTAAAAAGAGCAACAATGTCCTGCTGTGTGTGAGGGGGCATGCGTGTGTGTGCGCGTGTGTGTGTGTGTGTGTGTGTGTGTGTGCGTGTGTGTGCGCGTGTGTGTGTGTGTGTGTGTGCCCGTGTTTGTGTGTGTATTGCGTGACCTTTTATAAAATAACAAAACGACTTTGTGTGAATGTAGCGTTGGTACAAAACTGGGCCTGTCACAATTTGGCCTCTGTAAATTATGTGGATAAAGATAATATTGAAAGCACCACTAATGCAAGTACAATAAATCAAGATTACTCCATAAAGAAATTGATTTGTTTTAGATTAGTTTAGATTCATCAATATTATTAAAAATAGAGTTTGGAAAAATAAATGACATATGTGATAAAGTAATATGTAGGAATATTCAAAGGTGATTCAATTAAATTCCAACATGCTTTTTTTGACCATATGACCATGTCGTATCTTGTGAAGTAAGTGTTCTTTAGTTTTTTTCTAAAATCAATATATTTGTACAGACCCTCGCCTTGGCATAAACACCACTAATAAGAAATGCTGGAGAACAATAGTTGGGCTATTTACTAGGGGACTTGTTTATATATAAAAATATATTCAGTCTAATTAGGAAACGGTGGGTGAGAAAGTGTGGGTCTAACCATTCAGAAAAGTTACGGATATTTCACCTTTTACCCTTTACAGCTGAAACTTCATTGTTCTATAAGACAAAGGCAAAACAAACAATTTGTCTACTATTGCAATTGTTTTACAGACTAATCAAGGCCCAAAAGTAAGTGTGCTTTATTTTTTTCCCAAAATCAATATTTTCAATACAGAATTGCTGGAGAAAAATACTTGTTTATGTATGAAAAGGATATCCTGTCTATTTAGGAAACGGTGGGTGAGAATGCTTGGGTCGAACAATTCAAAAAGTTACTGATATTCACATTATACCCTTTACAGAAAATGGTAAAACAAACAATATGTCTGCTGTTGCAAAAAGGACAATAACACAATAATAACTAAGGCCCAACATAGTTTTTACAGCACATGTTATAGATAAAGTTAATCTTGAATCTTGAAAATAGTAGTTTTCTTGACAGGCCTGTACAGTACTGTTACGAGAGACAGTCTGTACAGGCCTGGACACGTGCAGTCCGGCGCTGGTGGAGTCTGGGGTCGTTTCTGACCGCGCTCCACTGTCCTCCGCAGCCCATTATCCTGTCTGCTTCCATAATTAACTACCAGCTATTTCTGCTCAATTTGCTGAACATGTGGTCTCATAAATGTGGCTTCAATGCGAGTTATAAAGCTGGAAAAGATGTGGCCAGAGTTTGATGTGAGTGTGAGTGAAGTGGCATTTTTTTTATTTAACCCTAACCCTTCTTTCTTAATTATTATTTCATGGTTCTAACTAGATTACAAGATAAATTATACAATACAAATCTGATAATCTGCTATAATGACTTATAGTAGGGAAACTTAATACACACAGCGATGCATAGTTTATGCTATCAGTTGCTCACTTACTTATGGACAATCTTAAACAGCTTCTGCTTTGAAACTTGAAATAATGATACAAAAAGAGGAACACAGGTGAAACTCTGAAAAGCACAATATGATTCAAAAGTCTATTTACTTCTTTAATTACTAGAAACTAACTAGAGCCTTTATGTGTTAAAATGAAAGTAATTAACTTTATTTATACAGCGCCTGTCACAGACCAAGGCCACAAAGCTTCACAGTAGAACAATACAAGTTCAAATACAATTAGAATGAGCGTACAAAAAAACAAATATAAAAGCCAAGACGAGTACATTATAGTTCATACACAAGGCAACTCAAAGTGCTTAAAAGACAAGACAAGATCAAAACACATTAGAATCACAATAGAAGACATTAAAATCATAAATGATCAGTGTGTTAAAAAAGAGTGAAGATACAGTCCTTCAGTCGTATGCACAGCTAATGATAATTATGGCTCACAGCTGGTATAAACTCTAAATAAAACATTTCTGAATAAAATAATCATCAATATTATAATAAAGGGATCACTTTACATTGAGTGAGTCTATATCATATATTGTGGTTCACATTTGGAATGACATCTCTTTTGGATGATATTGAAATGCTTATGTTGAATAAAAGATCATAAAAGAGATTATGCATAATAGTTGTGATGGAGCTGACGTGACAGAGGGCTATCAAATCAATTCAATTCAGTTTATTCTTGTATAGGCCTAAATCCCAGCCTTAGTTTTCTCAGAGGACTTTTCAAAACTGTTGACATTTCCAACACAGATTAGAGAATCAACAGTTCAATGCAAAGATAAAAACGCATACAGCCATTGGTCCATAAGGAGCAGAAGACCAATGTCTATACATGATGATTAATATCCATAAATGCAGTCTAATGTTGAGTTTAGTTTCCGGGATCATCACCACTGGCAATTGATGGTATGTTTTTGTATTTTTTTATGTTTGGCTTTGAGAGTAAACACTTTGCTTTCCAACATCGTCTCTGTTCCCTCACACCTCGGCGAGAAAGCTAGTCCAAGCCGTTTGACGTGTTATGAAGGTGCATGTCTCCAGCCACCCACAAGGTCTTCCACACAGCTCTAAGCTTATGCCAGCAGACCCAGTTACCGAGATGTGCCCTGGGCTTGTCGGGTTTCATGGTTATTATACCCGCACGGCTCTTCCACTCGAGCACAGTGCATTCATCCTCTCTCCAGCCTGTGGGGTGATGGCAACAGAAAGCTTTCTCTTCATCAGCTCAAGGTAACTGCGGGAGTCCCCCAGGGGCTGTGCGTAGCCCCACTGCTCTTTACACTTGTGAGGAAAACAAGGCAGTCTGAGATGGGAG